CAATTTTCTTCTAATTGTCCCAAATCGTCTCGGGCTGATGAGCTGAATTTGAACTGATTGTACAGGACGATATGCCTATCGTCCTGGACGATAATGTCGGCAACTTGCATTAATGAGTTCATTTTGAGATCTTATATTTAAGCTATGACATGACACTTTATAAATGTCTTTGACAGCCATTGTAGCTTCGTTCTTGTGGGGAAAACTTGAAGAGAAAGCTTGAAAGGGAGTGAGGAACAGGTGAAGTCTGAGAGAGGGAGAAGATCCTGTGAGGGGGGACTCAAGGGAATGTGGAAGGGGATTCCACATTGCTCCGGCAGGCTTGCACCTTAATATCATCGGATTCAAGGCTTGTCTTGAGGGAAGTTCACCAAAGAAGAAGATCTTTTTGGTGTCAAAGGACCCGGCGACTTCGCCGCACCGGGGAAGGTGAAAGTGATTTAAGGGCTTCTCCACCTAGCTGTGGGGGCTAAAGGAGAGACACTTGTTGCACTGCAATACTTGGAGGGTGCCTCCAAGGAGTGGACGTAGGTCAAGGTTTGATCGAACCAATATAAATCCGGTGTGCTCTTTTCTTATTATTGCTTCCGCATTATTTAACTTCCGCACTTTGATTTCTATGGTGATTTTGGTTTGTGTATTATCTTTGGTTTTAATGTTATCTAATCCACCTCTCTCTTTGTTAGCGTTGGGCCAGTTCATAAGGGCTTAACATCCCTAACGAACTTTGAAGTGGTATCAGAGCACTTTCTAGCGCCATTAGAGAACTCTCAATTACATCGTTAAGGTAAAATGTCATAGATTTTTCTTCCATGTTTTTTTTCCAATGTCCCATTTTTAAATCCAAATAAATATAGACATGACTTTATATAATCTTCTAAATTTTAATAATGCTAATCATATTTAAAAATTCTTATTTGGTTCGATTCATGTCAATAAGTATTCTAAATACTATAAATGTGATTATTACAGTCTCATCTCCATAAAAAATATCAACCTTGGTATTTCACTATTAATTTATGCTCAATTGATTATTTTATTTTTAATATGATTTTGATCATATTTGGATTCATTTCTTAAACATCCTAAAAGGAATTTAAATACTAGCTATCATCTATAACTAACTCATCATGTGACATGCATTGAATAATATGAATAGAATCATTGAAGAATTATGTAAAGTAAATTGAAGATAAATCAATACCTATTAATGTATGAGAAAAAAAGCTTCTCGTATAAGTGCCTCAGCACTGTATGCTACAGTGTTGCAATGCTCTAGACTTGGCTTAAGATAAAGAGTCATATGCTATGAAACATCAAACCTTGACTCCATGGTGCTATATACAAGTTGTAGTGCCACGATACTATAAGTTGGAGTGACTAGGAGTGGAGTACCATAGCTCTCTAAATCCCGGTGTTATAGTAATTACAATCTTGTCTACACTATCATCTTTCCTTGTTGTTTGGTGCATAGTTTTCTTCTAAAAATAAATAAACTTGAATCCAATGTTAATTATGTCTGAACTGAGGAATAGCCAAATAATTTTCCAATAGTCTTACTCTCTCAACTCCAAAACTCCTAAAATCTTTGTGGTACAAGTGTGTGCCTCAAATCATCTTTCAATCCCCTCAAGAGCCTATAATATTTTTCCTTAACATTGCTGACTAGTTTAGATGCATACCTGTCAGTGCAATAAATTCAACTTCTATTGCATCACTATCTTATTTCCTTGCTCTAGTCTCATAAAAGCCTATAGCATTTGTTGTCATACTGACAGAGCTACGAACTAATCTCTAAAGATAATAATAAACTCTGCCCAAGTAATCTCAGCATTCATCTTTCCCTAAATTTCTCCTATTGTTGTCCTATCCACTATCTTTTAGCTTCATATTTAAATTTAAACATTAATGGTAGTACTCTCCTATTCTTTGGCACTATATGTTTTCAAATATCTTTTTAATTCTCAATAGCTAATCCTCTATTACCTGTGGCTCTATAGCTCCCTTAAGTAGGAACTATGTTTTCTAAGATTTAAAATACAAATAAAAAATTAAAAGAAAATAAACTATACTTCATATATAAACTTACATTTTAAAATGACATGTAATATGTCTAAAAAACTTTGGCATGATCAACACGATATTTGAGGCAAAAATTTATTTTAGAAACTTTTAGGATCATTTAATCCAAGATCATATAAACTTTGATTTCAACAATTGTATAGTCGACTTGAACATCTCAATAAGATGAACCTAAACATACCAAAAGTGACCTAATCTGAAGTTATATGATATCAAATCAAATACTTAAAGCATATTTGGAACCATCAGAGATTAATTGGATGACTAAATGATCTCAAAATTTCACATACTTATAGTCGAATTGAGAAGCTCGATGAGACAAATCTAACGAGCCCAAGATTCACTTGAGATCAACATCATTAATGCACTTAAATGCTAAATAAACACTTCATGATTAAGAGAATCAATATGGATCGAATGATGGAGTATTTTTTATTCTGGTTCAAATTATCAAAATGTCAATCCCTAAAAGCGTAAAAATAGAGGCCTATTATCCACATGAAGGGGGAGAGGAAGAGTAGAGAGAACTGAAGAGTTTTCTTGCATTTAGCTATCCCTGCTGTTGACCATTACCAACTATCATCATCGATGATCACTAGTAGCTATCAAAATCTATGACCACTACCAGGTATTGCCTCCAATGACCACTACCATGATCTCCAAACTCCATACATGATTTAAGCTTTTGGGTATTAGTTTTCCGCCTATGGACATCTAACTTTTGTAATCTTTATAGGGAAAATTGGGCATTGTTGTTTGGTATTAACTATTCATTTTTGGACACTTGATTTTTATAATCCTTAAAAGAAAACTTTATGATAATTTCTTTAATCTTAAGGAAGAAGTGAATGTTATATCTCTTATTTATAATGGATCTTTCAACTACCTATAATTTTTTTCATTTTTGTGGTTTCCATGTAAAATGCTTGTCTCCTATAGGAATTTTCTACAAGTGCAGATTTTTTGTTGAAAACTAGGACATAAACTTCTACTCTATCGATGCAAATTTTCTAGCGCGCAAAAATATAAATAGGCACTTGATAAACTAAGATATATCAATATTTTATAACATTAAAGTATATAATTTTTTTATAAAAAGTCAAAAAATATTCTTTTAGTAAAATAATAAATAAATAAAAGCATGCACATATATTAAGTATATTTTTTGTTGTTAAAGTAATATAAATATATGAAAATAAAAGAATCTTGAAGAGTCACAAACTAATAAAAAAGGCTTCTAATTTTAATAGAGATAATTGAATTATATCATAAGAGTTATCGTATTAAAAATACTACTTTTGGTATTATTTATTTTTTCAATGTCTCTTTCAGAGGAATTAAATTTATTAAAACATGCATATCATATCAATTTAATTTATGGTATATAATATGTCTATGCTGAGCAATATCATTAGATATTAATCCTAACTTACATAAACAAATTTAGAACAGCTCTAACAATCATCCCGTAATAAGATGCTTGAACCTCTCCATACCTGGCTTTAGTAATGATACAATAGTCATATGCAGCCGCCAGACTAATAACTCAATTTTATGCAAGGAAACTTCTTTTTAAGGCCTTCAATAATGTATAGATTAATCAAACAAAGGCTATAATCTATAATCTTGCCAACATCCACGGGTTAAAATTTGATTAACATTTGATTAGAAATAGTACAATAATATTAGATTAATCATAAAAAGGCTATAATCTTGAAAATTACAACATATTCAAACTAAATTCATAAAAAAAAAAAGAGTAAGAAAACCACAAGATTAATGAAAAAACATAATCGACGTGATTTAGCAAAGGGTGTCTACATCTATGTGGAGATAGAGATGGCTATCACAACATTAATTACACAACATGGTACAAAAGTAATAACAAACTCTAGATCTTGATTAGTAAACTTGAAATAAACATATATTTATTAAATAAAATAAGGAAGGATATCACCTAATCATATCTTGTCAAAATAAGGAAGGACTTCTTTGTTCTTACTCCACCATGTTGTTTCTTTTTTTCTTGTCTTCCTAGCTTTGATAACTCTATTGGCTTCACATGTAAGAAGCATCAACCAGGATGGTGAGCATCAAGCTCCCTACCTCTCTCTCTCTCTCTCTCTTGAAACTTGATTGCATGTACTTCCTCCTAATCTCTTCGAAAATCAAAAGAGAATCGAATAAGATGAAGTTCTCGATCCTCTCATCTTCACATATGATCGACTCTAATTCATTTCTTCTTCTATCTCTTATCCTTCACCCCCACATTAAATAATATATGATAAAAAACACAAGGTTATACAAGGGATAAATTTTTAAAGCAATAAATTTGGAATAGGAAACTTAATGAAAAAAAAACTAATTAATTGAAATAATTAAGATTTGACTCTTTTTTAACAATAGTATTGAAATGAGTTATGGTTGGAGTTCTCATATAGAGACTAAGCATTCCAAAAATATACATAATATCCAATATTGTTCAAGTAAGTAGCAAGAGTTTCTGACAAGACTATTGTAAAGATTTGGATCCAACTTCTTACTTTCATCATTCTTGGATAACTTGAATTCACATTCTATCAATATTCCAATGCAATTAGAGTCTTCTATATTTAACTTTGTTGATGACTTCTTTAGCATAGCTTTCTTGAGTAAAGAAGCAACCTTTATTTTATTTCTTTACATTAATGATGAGTTGTTAGACCTGACCCTAAGCTGGTTATTTTGAGCAATTTTATCATATATTATTGAATAAATGGAAATAAAACTTGTAAAACTATAAATTAAACTTACAGAATTGAAAATAAAAAATGAGAAAATGATTACTAAAACAATCATCTGAACATATAATGCATTACATCATCAATAGGAATGTAGACATAATCACTAAGAAAACAAAAACATTAATTGATAAATTCTCACAGTTCATAAGGATTTTGGCCAATATACACAACAATTGGACTTCTGACATTATGAGTACCATCACTCCAAATCAAAACACCTGAGATAATGGTCTCGTTAGCATCCCCTTCAAGTTTGACTGAAAATGATTTCTTCTCCAGAAGAGCTTCAAAAGACAAAACGTTCGGCTCAACATTTATCTTGATGTTAGAAGGAGCATTAACAATAGCATAGTAAGTGGAATTTGACACTCCCACATTAGTGACTGTTCTTCGAAAAGAAGTTGAAAAAGACTTTCCATGTTGAGTTTGCAAAGCAAAGGTAGGATAATTTAGATCTAAAGCCGTTTCATTATTTGCAAAGCCACAAGTACTCAGATCTCCAGTGACAAGTCTTAGAATTGGAGTGATGTAGCCTTCACCACATAGCATTTTAATGTAGTCTGTCTCTTGAGCATCATATATAAGACCAGGATTCAAAGCTGCGAGTGGGTTTATGTGACCGGCCCCATAAGCAAGTTCTGCCTCAGCATTATTTGTTGAGCTCATCACATAAGCTAGAAGAATTAATAATTAAATTTAATGTTAATTCAACAATATCAAATGAAAGAAAACTATAAATTGAAATTGTATTTTTATCCATGTACAAATTATTGCAAAAGTCAAATTAGTATTACCAGTGGTGATGAGAGCAGACTTTATGGCAGCTGGAGACCAAGTTGGATTAAATGATTTAATATAGGCGGCAACACCTGCTGTATGAGGGCAAGACACTGATGTACCTGATATAATGTTATACGGTACTTTAGGATTACCAAGTGGTGACCATGCTGCTAAAATATCAACCCCCGGTGCTGTTAGGTCCGGCTACATTATATGTGCAAAATATTACAATAATGTTTACACCAAAGAAATTCATATCAAATATTTAGTTTATGTATTCAGTTAGTTACCTTTAGTATATTCGAGGTAAGTGGATTTGGACCGCGTGATGAGAATGAAACCACATATGGTGCTGCAGCATCGAAGACACCTTCACTCTTGTAAATGCTTGCCATAGGATTGCTGTCAGATAGACAATTAAACCTAGATAATCAAATGTACTTCATTCTCTTTCCTTATGATATATATATAATTTAAGAGTTGTAACCTTGTGTTGTTTGCATAATTTCGAAGTTGTATGCTATTGTTTGATTCCAGCACTGAAACAGGCAGCAAGAACTCGGAAGAGTAATCGTTGGCATGATATGATTCCATAATTGCTCCAATGGCACCTACACGTAGTGGTCCTGACCCGTCACTTACTCCATAACATAATATAACTTTTCCCTTTACCAATTCACCATCCAACGTCCCTTCATTGCAATATCTGCATGCATAAAAAAATGTAGCATAAATTAATTGAAGTTGATGAAATTTTGACTTAATAATTAAAAATAGCTACACTAGTTCACCTTGAGTCTATTATTGCTTCAAGACCTAATGAAATGTTGGGTGCATTTTCACCCAATATCAATGGATGCATCTCACCGTCCAAGCCATAAATGTTCACTGCCCTCCCCTATAACAAAAATTTTTAATTGCATAAGAATTAATTAGGAAACTCAAATTTTGAAATGATTAAGGTATATAGATATTAATAATTAATTAATCACCTGAAATTCTTCTCCATTTCCAAGTTTAGTTCGGGTAATAATCTTGCGATCAATGGTACTCGCTGCCACTGTTAATAGCCATGGTGCATAATTCCCAACACTAAAATTATTAGGACCAGAATTCCCTGCCGAGCTAGTTGTCAGAATGTTATTCTTCATTGCATGGAAAGATCCGATAGATATGGCATCCTCGAAGTAATTACGTATATAACCACCAATAGAAATAGAGATTATGTCGACACCATCATGGATGGCGTCTTCGAAGGCTGCGAGTATATCGATGTCATAGCAGCCGTATCTCCAACAAACTTTATATATTGCGATTCTCGCAGAGGGGACGCCTCCACGGGCAGTTCCATTTGCAATTCCTGCGAGGCTCATATTTGTTATAAGGCCGCCGACGGCTATGGAGGATGTGTGAGTTCCATGTCCTTCACTATCCCGAGGGGAGGGTATGTCCATTTCATGTATGTTACCTTGAAGGTGGTAGTACCGAGCTCCAATAATCTTACTATGCGTTGGTAATTAATTATTGTAGTATTAGTAATTTCATATAGCTATGTTATAACTACTTTTTATTAGTATAAGATGATGGGGAGCATTAATTACTTATTGCATGTGAAGTTCTGATTAGACTGACATATACCCTTCCACCTACTTGGTGGAAGGCCAAAACCGGCATCGTCGAAGCTCTTTGACTCAGGCCAGATCCCTGTGTCGATCATGCCGATAATAACATCAGACTCAAAGGATGCACGTGGAACGCTCAATGGAAAACCCATGAAATTCCATGATCTTGTGGTGTGAAGTTGTCTTTTCTTGCTTGGGAACACAGAAACCAATCCTTCCATTCCTGAGTTCATAAACCACATCAAATTTTAAAATTTAATAGTTCACAAGCCAAAAAATTTTCATTATTAACACTGCATTTATGAATGCTATTCTAGCAAGTTTTCAGTTGATTTTTATTTGTATTTATATTACCGGATAACTTTTTTGCTTCTTCATCTGACAGCATAGCGGCGAAGCCATGAAAACTCTTGGTGTAACTATATATATGTCTGTTTGACGCTTCTTCGTTGCTACATTCAACATTAATTTTGAATGAAAAATGCATATTTATATATAAACAAAAATAATAATTAGATATTTGATAAAACAATCAACAATCAAAACGATGTCAGTTTAGAAATCTTGCTATTTCAATCGGAACAAGAAAAAAGATAAAATTGGGTACTTGTTTCGACAGATCACCTTAATCCAATTGCTTTCTGGAGCAGTTCTAAATGTGCTAATTGTGGCAGGCCAACGAATTCTCTTGGCTTTTCTCCCATATACACGATATAAGGCTGTTGATTTGTTCACATTAATAAATTACATGCAATTGTGATAAATAAAAGAAAATTAAATATATTATGTGAAATTAATATTTCAATCATACTCTTTGGTTGGGCTCTGTGGTCTCCGCATGGCCTCTGAGAGCCTTCATTGCAAGCATTAGGAGAAGAAATGAAGATAGCAAAGGGAACGAGTGCCGATCCATAATTGCAATTAATTTTGAGTTTAAGGAGGATAATCCCAATTTGTTACTGCCATTCTATGGAAGGATGATAGGTTTATATAGGTGCTTTTGTATATATTTATTAACTAAGAGTTTCCGTTGAGATGAAACCACTTAAGCTTTGAATTCTTCGCAAGTATTAAACATTGACATTTGTTAAAGAACTATGAGTACGTTTTTTGTTGGAGGAATGCTTACGGAACAACTTTGTTTTTTATTAACAAAGATAAATGTTTTTTTTTAAATGAAAAAAAATGCTTTTGTACTTTCTTTGATCAGATTATTGTAATGGATAAGTTGTTCACTATTATTCATATATATTATAAATCTACACGATTTTCTGCAAGTTTTTAAAACAATAATGGAGGCCTGTTAATGATAATTTTTTTTTGGAGTATTAACAAGAATGGAATGCGGATTGCGTAAGAAGAATTTAAAACAAGTAGTGGAGGCCTGTTAATGATTTTTTTTTTTTTTTGTATTTTGACGAATGGAACACGGATCAACCGAGCCACGGCTTAATCCACCTATTAATAATGGCCCAAATGCAATCATTAGAGATGTTGTCATTTAAACTTTTCATATTTTTATATTTAAAATTAATGATTTGTTAAAAGAAGTATTTTATTGTGTCGTATCTGCAAGGCATAAGCCATCAGCTAAAAAGTATGAATCTAATTCTTGATAAAATGATACTAAAATATTTTCTCTTTGGGTAAAGTAGTTCTCGCTTTTGAACAACAAAGCCCATTTGGAATGTTCAACCCATAATTTAGATTACCAAATAGGTTTCAAACATGACATGTTTATAGTCGAATCGAGCGGCTCGACGAGACGAATCCAACAATCACAAGATCGTCAAATTCAGATATCAGTAAGGCATTCAATTACCAAATAAATCGACCATGATCGAAGGAATCTACATTAGCTGTCCATTCAAACCACTCCCAAATTACCCTTGATCTTCCTCCAATTTACTGGTTATGCCACTCTCAGAAAACTATAAATAGACCCCTCATTTATCATAGAAGGGGGGCCCCGGGGAAGGAGGTCCAAGCAAGGAGAGAAGGAAGAGCTCCCTTGCCACTAGACTCGTCCTCGACCACCATTGGACTTCAGCCCAGCTACCAACTGTCGTCGGAATTTCGCCCATCTACCAGCGGGAGCCAAATTTCTGCCCAACCACCAACTGATGTCATATCTCTACTTGGCGACCGACTGATGCCAGACCTCTACCTGTCTCCAGACTTTAGACGGACTTATATCCGACACCAGACCTCCACTCGTTGTCGGATTTTCTACCCGACACCGAATTTCTATCCATCGACGGACTTCTACCCCATGCTGAAATTCTACTTGACACCAGATTTTATCAGACTTCTATCTGGAGCTGGACTTCTGTATATCACCGAACTTCTACCTGATGTCATCCTTCTAACCTCTGTTGCAGGACAATGGTCCTCCCGACCTTCGTTGCCTACCGATTACGGTCCTTCCGACCTTCGTTGCCAGAAAATGATCTTTCTGACCTCTGTCGCATACTGACTATGGTCCTTCCGACCAAATGAATACATGAACAATGATTCTTTCTATTTTCACCATGTAATACACTATGTATGATGTATATTTGTTACATCAACCCAATTAAGGCCTTCCCTAAAGGAAGGGCCTCATTTGTAATTAACTACAAATAATAATGGATTCTTAAAACTAGGCGAGGCCCCATGGTTTTTCCCATTTCAGGGTTTTCCATGTAAAAAATCTTGGGGTCTCTTATGAATGTTACGCCCTCTCTTTTTATCTATATGCATGCCAAATCTTCGTACAAAGCTAAGATGTTAAACTATATATATTTCCCTACCACCGTGAATATTCAAGGAAGCAATATATATATATATATATATATATAAAAAAAATGTATATAATAATGAAGAAAATATGAATGGGATTATCCTCAAAATAACAAACTAAGTATATACATTAAATAATAATATCATTAATGTATAATAAAATATTCTAACTTTTGTTGGGTTAAGTTTAATAAAATGAATTGTGTCCTTAAATAAAACTTTTTTGTCCACTTTATTATTTAACACGGGCACTTTTGAGCTCTCCTCTACTGGCCTAAACTACACTTGGTATAATCAAAGAGCTGGCAACCCCATTCATATCAAATTAGATAGAATGTTGGTTAATTTTCTGTGGCTGGACAAATTTCCTTCTTCTTATTATAAAGTGGAACCTCTTGGAAATTCTGACAATTCTGGTGGCAGATTCTTATTCAAAAACTTCTGGAATAACATGGATGGTTACTGGGATGTGGTTATTTCAGCGTTTGCCAAGCATTGTGAAGCAAGCCCAATTGCTAACCTATACCATAAACTTAGACACCTCAAACTCATGTTAAAGCATAAATGTTGGGCTTCTTTTTCCTTCATTAAGAATAGCATTGAGATGCTGGAGTAAAAACAAAAGTGCTGTCTTGAGCAGATCAACATTAGTCCTTTGGATCATGGCCTGAATAATTACCTCAAGCAAATCAACACATCCCTTTCTGCTTATAATAAAGCTTGGTGTTCATGGACCATTCAACGTGCTAAAGCCAAATGGCTTTCTCAAGGAGAAGATGATTTGGGCTTTCTCTATGCAAAAATCAAAAACAGAAGTAATGTAAATCGCATTAAAGATATTACTACCTCTGAGGGGCTTTTATCTTCCCCTTTGGAGGTTGCTAATGCTATGATTCAGCATTTCCAAAGCTTATTCAACCCTTCTTGCCAGAGCTTAGCCACGTCTCATGCTAGTCCCATTGGTACCAAAGTCCCTGAGCATCTTGTGAACTCTCTTGTTAATCTCATAACTGATTTTGAGATTAAAAATGTGATTTTTTCTAGTGCTCACAACTCTTCTCAGGGGCTGGACGGTTTTACTTTTGAATTCTATAAAATCTCTTGGGATATCACTCGTTTCTATGTTTGTCAAGCTATTAAGAACTTTTTTAACACTGGTCATCTCCCCCACTATGTCAAAGCTACTGCTATTGTTCTTATTCCTAAACTACCCCATGCCTCCCACATTGCTAACTTTAGACCTATTGCTCTATGCAACACTTTTTATAAAATTATAGCCAAGATCATTGCTAACCGCTTGAAAAGCATTATGCCCATCATAATTCATAAAAGTCAGGCCGAATTTATTCAGAACAGATTGTCCTTGACAACATTATTCTTTCTTCTGAAATCTTGAGAGATTTTAGCTCTAATTCCAGTAATAAATTCTTTTGTGCCAAACTTGACATCAACAAAGCATTTGACTCTATTTCTCGAGAGTTTTTTATTGATAGATTGCAAGACAAGAGATTTCCCAATAAATTCATTCCTTGGGTTAAACGCTACATTTTCGATGTCGATTTTTCTGTTTATCTTAATGGTAAATTGGAGGGGTATTTCAACTCTACTTCGGGCCTTAGACAGGGTTTCCCGCTTTCACCTCTACTTTTTGCTATTGTCATGGATGCTCTGTCATGTGATTTGGAAGCTGGTAACTTCATGGGCTATCCATATGGGACTCAATCCATTAGCCACTTACTCTATCATTACAGGAAAATCACCGATTTCCGGCGGAATTTTTTGGCGGCTTTCCGGCGGTCAGGTTTCTGGCGGCTTTCTGGTGCTTTTCCGACGGTTTTTTCTTACGGAATTTTCCGGCGACTTTAAAAAATTTATTGAAAATGAATAAAATTTTTACTATGTAAATGATTTATCAAAAATTAATTAAAACTTATATTAACTATTTAATTAATTTTCATTTTAAAATTATTTAGTTAGTTAATTGTGGGATGCGGGCGCGGCACCGGGGCACAGGAGAGCCTGGCCAGAGCGGTATGCGGGCGCGGCGCCGGGGCGCGGAAGCGGGGTGGCTGGCCGGAGCGATTTTTTTTTTTAATTTGATCGGAGATTTAAGACCGCCGGTAAGCCGCCGGCAATCTTGCCGTCGGAAAAAACCGTCAAAATTTATTTTCCTACGCTGTTTTTACCGGCGGCATTTGAACCGCCGGAAAACCGCCACTAAATTACAAAACAACCGGAAAATGCCTAATTTCCATCGGAAATGAGTGATTTTCCTGTATTGTATGCGGATGATGTTCTTGTCTTTGGCAAGGCTACCCTTATTAATGCCCAGGCCCTCAATGACACTCTGCATGATTTCACTGCCATCTCTGGGCTTCGGGTCAACAAGAATAAGTGTTCCATTCTATTTTCAAACAGAAGTCAGGAGAATATTTTTATATCCAATGTGCTTGGATATCATACTGCTAAGGTGACCATGAAATATCTGGGGATGCCTATTGCTCTTAAGAAAATTATCTATTTCTCACTTCCAACCACTACTGAGTAAGCTTTCTACTCTACTTGATGGTTGGAAAGTCAAATTTTTATCTTTTGCAGGTAGAATACAGTTCCTGAAATTTTCTATTGCCAATACTATTGCTTACTGGATTAGAGGGGCAATTTTACCTAAGGGGTGTTGCAAATTCATTGATAAAATTTGCTCTAAATTTCTTTATCATGGGAACCTCTCTAACCGAAAACTTCATCTGATAGCTTGGAAAAACATGTGCATTCCCACTTCCTTTGGGGGTTTGGGAATTCCTAATATTCCCTCTATGCGATTTGGTTATGCTTGTTCCTTTATTTGGAGATACTTTAACAACTGCAACTCTCTGGTGGCCTCTTGGTTTAGATATAAATTTTTATCTCCATTCAAAAGGCCTCCTCCTACTGCTTCTAAGTTCTTGAAGTTTATTTCTCTTATGCGAGCATTATCAAAAACAAGCTTATTTTCAATGTCTCTCCCTCTAATTGTAATCTCTCTTTTTTGTGGGACCCTTGGGTGTTTGGCAGCTCTATCTCTCATATCTCTAACCATTCCACAGGCTTTGGTGTTATTTCAGATTACCTATCTGGGGGAATATGGAGGAT